TTTCAGGGTTTTCCTCTTATTTCCTCTTTTGGCTATGGGACAGGAAGTGAACATAAATCTCCCTAATGGGACACAGAAGGCAAAAAACAACTGTCAGTGGTTACAACTATCCCTTACCCTATCCAAAATGAAAAAAAAGTTTTGCTTTTAAATGTCTGTTTTTGGGTTTATTACTACTGTAAGTAAAAGCACATGGGTCCTGCAAGTTGCGTATTTTTTCCTATTCGCCTCACATACATAGTGTGCTAAACTCTGGAGGGATCATCATCAGTATATAAGGTAGAGCAGTGTGCGGGGTTATGTGGAATCCTGCTAAACAGGTGGCTCTTATATTTACATACAGTATAACATGATCCCCAGCAGCATGTTATACTTCAGCTGTGCTACTCTGTAGCTACAGTATCTTCTTATAAATGTGTATATATATATATAGTTCATGATTGTTTTTTTTCTAGAGTTCAACACATGTTACAAGGTTTTCTAGCCTTTTTATTTTGTTTGTTGCCTGAAATTGCTTTATAAAGTGAGCCTCTACTTTGGCCATCCATAATACCTATATTTCCAGAGGCCAATAATTCCCCACACTCATTGACATAAAATGAAGGAGTGGAAGATGTACACACACCAGAGGTGTAACTAGAACCTTCAGGGCCCCAGTGCAGGAAACTAGGAAGGGCCCAGTAACTCCCGTCATGATAGGCTATTTCCATTGGTCCCGGGCCCTTCCCACTGATCCCAGGGCCCTTTACTCCCATTGCGGGGCCTTTTATAATGGTTCTGCAATGGGTCCCCTTCCTGCTGACATGAGCCCCCCATGGTGGTGGAACACCAGGGCCCGGTCGCAAGTGCAAACTTTGAGACTTTAGTAGCTCTGCCACTGCTGGGGCCTTTCTCTCACAGCTCACTCCCCTGTGTCACTTCCCCCTATCTACAGCAGCAGTGAGATCTGTACTCCTGTAAATCTATCTCACTATCAAGGATCTGTGCCACCAATGAAATGCTTTATCTCACCTTATAAGACCACATGGGTGACTGTGGGGGACAGTAAAAACAGGTGGTTGAGCCATGGTTTTAACACCAACTGAGCACCTGTACTCTACAATACAACCAGAGGGGGCTCTTCACATGTTGTGACCATAATGCTTTGCATCACAGCCACAGCATATTTATTGTGGCTTGCCCATTAAGGCAAATGGACTGCATTTCAAGAAAAAAAACAGGCATTCAGTAGGCAGCAATGTTACCTCCTGAACATCTGACAGCACCTGCTTACCCGTACTCTGAAAAGCAATCCACTGAAAATAATTTTTCAGAGAATGGGCTAGTATGGATTTAGCATTACATAGAGTGCCTATTGCATGCCATGCCTTCTGCAAATCTATCAAAGCAGTATGGGTGGAATCCACAGAATGGCTGGAATACAGTTCTGACCCTTAAGAATGAATGGGGCTACGGTGTGCTAAGAATAACTGGCGAGGACATTTTCAGGAGAAAGGTTGTGTGGTGGGGCTCCACAGCTGAGATCAAGGGAACCAGGCACTCTGCTATCGGAGGTGGAGGGGACCATTTAAGGATAAATCACTAATCGTCCTTTGAGCATATGTAAAGTTGACGGCATGATATCATTAGTTCTAAAATGCTGTTTAGATTCACAAACCACTGTTTAGTGCAAGGGTTTAACTGACTAGATATAATTGAATTGACTGTGTATGTAAGCCCTTGCACTAGATGTTAGAAAATCTAAAAATAAAATACATATAAATTGTACAATCTGACCATAATGAGTGTGACCATCCTAACTCATCTAACCCTTTGCGCGTTTATTGCACAGGTTTAAAAATAATTTTAGGCCTGAAGGTTAGTTAAAACCCCAAAACGTTATATATTTTCTAAAGCAGCAAAAAGTACACTAGTTAATTTTAGAGCACACCAATGCAAAATATTACCCAATTTTAAGTAAATATAAAAGATTAGGTTGCACAGAGTAAATGGGTACCCAACATTGCAAGCTTTAAAATTGTGCATGCCCAAGAAACAACAAAAATTTTGGTATTCTAAATTCTCCATAGGCGAGACTTTAAAAACCTCTACAGGTCATCTGTTAACCATGAATTATTGTCCTAAAATTATTGCTCTCACTCTGGCATACATAGCAATATGTAACACATGTAGCGTAATCAATATTTCTGTACCTAGGGCCCCTGACATGTGTGTTTGCACTCATATGCACATATACACGGGGGGTACTCAATTTTTTTTTTTCAATGAACCGTAATGGACGGGTATTGTCATACCGTTTAACCATCTGTCCTGCTCTAGGACTTTAAATATGACCTGATCCCAAGTTGAACTTACATACCTCAACAAAAACAAGGGGACTCTTCCTGCCCCCTTCAGGAGGAGGTTAAAAAATATAAACAGGGAGGACAAAAAGGGGTAAAAGAAAAAAAAAACAGGAGTTGGGATGTGACATTAGAATCAAAGGGGGAAGAGGGATAGGAGGGATGGGAAGACTCCGCTCCATCTACTCCCATCCCCCCTGGGTGAGGGGAACTGAGGATCATTGCACACTATCATGCCTTGGGCTCTACTGTTCTAATCAAAGAAAACAGCAGTATACTAAAATGTGTAAGTATAAGCCGTCCATGGCGACCAGGTATCTCTAAATTGATCCTCTCTTACAGCGCCAGCAAAGCTTAAAGACTTGAGAGTAGAATTTTTTAAGTAACACCGGGACCCTATACCCCTATACCATCTAAATAAGAACTTGTAGCCCTGAAAACAGTTGTCAATGGAAAGTTTATAAGCAAGTGAGATGATCCTAATCATTTGCTGTTTCGAAAAGGAGAAAAATCTGACTCCCACTTATAAGTTTAAGGGGGATAAAATCTTCCAGAGGCGCGTTCAACTGTTTATAGTTTTGGGATTTTTTGGGTGCTTGGGTGTAACTTTCATTTTTTAAAACTTTTTTTTCCATTAAGCTTATTTTTTGAGAAAGGGGAGCAAAAGTCCCCTATGTGATATAATTTTGCTATGACAGGCTCTCTTTAATGAGACATTAAGGGGTTTATTTACTAAAGCTGGAGAGTCCAAAATCAGACTCCCTTCTGCATAGAAACCAATCAGCTTCCAGGTTTCTTTGCCAAAGCTTCATTGAACAAGCTGAGGTTAGAAGCTGATTGGTTTCTATGCAGAAGGGAGTCTGATTATGGACTCTCCAGCTTTAGTAAATAAACCCCTAAGGGTCTATTGGACCCCTAATGTCTCACCTGCTTTCGATAGAAGCTAAAGGAGCATAGTTCGCATTTCATTAGCATCTTCTCAGCACATATTTTTCTCAGCACAGGTTTCCTTGAAGTGTATCTAAACCTAAGAACAAAAAACATCATGTATATTGCAGTTTACCACTCCTCAGGTGTGTAGGACTGCAATAATGGAGGAGAAGTGTTGTCACCCTAGACGGCTTGTCCTGGTTTGAATTACTAATCCTTCCCTCCATAAAATAGGTAGGAGGTGTTCTGTAGGCCACAGAGTTGACCTGGGTAGGGCTAATAATATTGCTTGAGGTCTCTGTTCAGCAGAGGCACTGAGTTAACAGTTCAAGACCTTAGGAGCTCTCAGGATTTATGACAGATCAACAGGTATTTTTTTTCTCAATCTTCTAACAGATATAACAAAATGCTTTTAATGGTATATTTAATGGACCAAAAGTAAGCAAATAAGAGAAGTTCATTGTTTACATATATTTTACGTAACTTCTCAGTCATTGACCTAAGACAAGTATGCAAACTCTGACTTCACTCTGATTTCTATATTTATTCTAGGTCAGTGTCTGAGAAAATACTGAAGTCAGAGACAGCCAGGTCACTAGCATTTTCAGAAGAAGTCTTAAAATTCTTTCCGTACAGGTTTCCTTTGACAAAATGAACACATACATTTATTTAACATTTCAGAATACTGATTCACTCAACTTTGATATGTATGGGAGGCTGCCCATGCATGTCGGTCCTAATTAAGGGAAACAAAGATGGATCTTTACACATCTCTGAAGGAATAACTTAATCTATTTTATATTTAGGACCAGAAGCGCTTCTCAGTAAAACCATGGCCATGGACACAAAACACTCATACAAAGGGATTTCTCCGACCTCACAATTCATGGAATCCCCCTCGCTGTGGAGTTCCTGATATTCCTGCCCCCCCAGATTCCTCTGGACGTAACAGACAAAAACGCTTTGTGCTCTCTGGTGGACGCTGGGAAAAGACCAACCTAACCTACAGGTAAAGCTGTTTATTTTGTACCTTACCTGAATGGTTTATATCCAGTTAACATGGCAGAAATGAACAATGTCTCAGTTATTTTCGATGGTTAGCAAGGCCTCATGTACTCAAAAATAACTGTCCAGTTTAGTTCAAGTTGACCAAGTAACCCTGCTGAACAACAACATCTTTAGATAAAGATTGGTCAAACAACCAACATATAATATAAATTGTATACAAAGCCAATATATATATATATATATATATATATATATATATATACACACACACAATATATATATATAGGCTATATATATATATATATATATATATATATAAATTATTATTATTTTTTTTTACTAAAACTGGAGAGTGGAATATCTGGTACAGCTGTGTATGGTAGCCAATCAGCTTCTAAGTTTAGCTTGTTCAATTAAGCTTTGACAATAATACCTGGAAGCTGATTGGTTTCTGTGCAGAGATACACAGGATCTTGCACTCGCCATCTTTAGTAAATCAACCCCAATGTGAAATATTTAGAACCTTTTGCTGTCCCTGGCCCTGCTGGGGAAATGCAAGTATTGGTACTGGTGACAATTGTCTAAGAGGGAAAATCCCTCACTTTTGGAATGATCTTTTTTTAATTACTACTGTCTCCCTGGGACAGAAAGTGAAGAGAAATCTCTCTGACAGTACATAGATTGGTCATCACCCATGCATGATAACACTGCTTCCAATGTTTCAGGATTATCCGCTTCCCATGGCAGCTCAGTAAAGTGAAGGTGCGAAGGACTCTGGCGGAAGCACTGAGAGTGTGGAGTGAGGTGACTCCCCTGACATTCACTGAGGTGTATGAAGGACGGGCTGACATTGTTATTGATTTTACACGGTGAGTCCAAATATTATCTACCATCACATACATGGGTGTATATGCATATGAATGTATATCATGTAAGAATATGTATACTAGATGATTAACTAATGTAGATTTATAGATTATTAGGATTACTAAAAGAACCACAAATATTGAATGATCAATAATTGGGTGATATTTGGGAAAGTATTAAAGACTATATAAGCCTTCCTACCTGCACCTTGTGTTTTTCACCTGCATACGATGTCCATTGATGTGTATTGTTGGCACTGCACAAAGTAACACTTCTGTCTGTAGTGTGAGAGCTGACATTTCCGGTGAAGAAACGACATATCCCACAATCTCTGGGTTCTGCAGGTGAGAGCTAAACAGTAATTAGACATAGACACAAGCATGTAGAACAATTAAGACCGGATTCACACTGTTGCACTGCGGTCTGGCCACATCCTGGATGTATCTGCAGTATTCATGCTTTTTGCCTGTGGTTTTAGCCGTGGTCCCTTAGCATTCTATTAGGTTGCTGATGCAGCATGCAGGACTTTTGTGCGCTTTTAGAACATGCATGAAAAATGCGCAACCCTTATAGTAGTCTGTGGCTAAAACCACAAGTAAAATACATGAAAACGGCGGATATACCTGTGCTGCGGACAAATTGCTGCTCACCAGTGCCTCATAGAGAGCTCATTCATGCAGTGTTTCATCACATTAGCACTTCCACATTTGTAATCCAACAGAGGGGAAGTGGCAACTCCACTCTAAGTGGTTGTTGTAAGGGCTAAGAGTTTTTTTACCTTAATGTATTCTCTGCATTAAGGTAAAAACCAAACCTTACAATAGCAGTGCCCCCCAGCCCCCCTCCCTAACACATACCTGAGTCCTGCATCGATCCAGCACTGTGACCAGATTCAGTTCTTTTCCCCCATCTCTGTGCTCTCACAAGCTTGGCTGAGAGCAGCAGTAGTCATTGGCTCCTGCTGCTGTCAGTCAAATCATGGGAGGAGGGAGTGGGAAGTGGGCTGAGCCGTGCTGTGTGTGTCTTTAGACGCAAACGGCCTGGCTCAGGATCAAGCCTGCATGTGCTCTGCTGCTTGCGATGGAGGCACACAGTGAAGAGGAGGAGCCAAGAGCGCCAGCGGGGGACCCCAGCAGAGGAGGTTCGGGCCACTCCAATACACAAAGTGGGTAAGCATGAAATGTTTGGTATTTACAAAAAAACACAAAAATACATATTTGTCACACATACCTAGAAGATGTGTTATTTGTCAAAAGATTTGTAAAATAATGCATATACTCCTGTGATCCAGCCACCTTACTGTACATCACAATATCATAGGGCAGGTGATATACTTTTCAGAGTCTTCGCAGGATGATTTCCTCTCTTTTCATAATGGGACGGAAAGCGATGGGATATTTCTTCAGTGAGGAAACAGATTGCAAGTTATTGAAGGGTTAGCCCCTTTTTTAGGTTGTTATTACTGTCTTTGCCTTCCTGTTCCAGTAATTCGCAGGCATGGGAATTTGTGTGTACTCTCCCTATGAGGGTCACTGACAGCCAGGGGCGGGCTGACAACTCATGGGGCCCCCGGGCAATAGGGAATAATGGGGCCCCTGTGTCCTTGCCCAAACTCAAAAAAGCCTATGAAAAAGGTACCAGGGGCATCTCATGGGGCCCCCTACTGACCCCGGGCCCTTGGGCAGTGCCCGAGTTTCCAAATGGTCAGTACGCCCCTGCTGACAGCAATATAACTTGATAACTCAGATCTACTACCCAAAGCTTAGAAAAAGGATTTCGCTGGAGTTGGGCATTTATTTCTGTCATTCTGTTTATTTCTGTCTCATTCATTCCTTCATTCCTCCTGATATATTTCTATGGCTCTTTGTTAAAGCAGATCTAAAGTTTATCTGAGCACTACAAACCGAAAATAATTATTCATTTTTAATATACATAGCAAACTCATCTATCCATCCATGTCTCAATGCTTTATTTTGTGTTGAGAAACCACATTGAAAAACACCCCCTAGCATTTCTGGCCTTAGCTGTCTTGAGCAAGGGCAGATGATTCACGTAGCATTTACTTCCTGGAATCCATCCATCCTTAGCCCAGGCATGCAGACAGGAGGGTGAGCTTAGCTGAGAAAGCCCCTCCTCTCCTCTTGATGAAAGAAAACAAAATGCCCATGAGGAAACCTGGGATGTATGACATCATTTCAACCTAGGCCAGAAACCAAAAAGCAACTGAATAAATGAAAAAAAATTTAAACCAAGGAAATATGTTATATATTCCTATCTATTTTCTAATGCTAGCAGCACAAAGATTAAAAATAGTAAATGTTGATTGGTTTAGTTTAGTGTAGTCTCACCTTTAGATGCCCAATCCTCATATTTATTTAGAATTTTATCTTAGCACAATTTATATGTGATCACTTGGTATTTCCCATAATTCATTGGTATAATTTATTGGTTTTACAAGTGCTGCATGTCAATATTTTATATGTGTTTTGGAGATTATTTGGTGGCCTTTTAGTGCATTAGCAGCTGTTTTAAGTGCTCGCTAATTTCTATACGTTTATAGTCTGCATAAGGGACTTCACATTTGATTTGGTGTCTGTGTTACATTTTGTGTCTGTGTTGTGTTACATTTTGAGTCAAAATAAATTTAGGCTTTAGACTTTATTAATTTCTAGTTTGTATATTTAGTGCTGACATAGTGTGCAGTGCTCTACGGAGGACATGGATCCATGCACATCACACCCTTTCCCCCAAAGGAGCTCAAATGAAATGTCCCATCACACTATTAAGCTGGCCATACATTATACAATTTTCCTTTAGATTTACCAAAACCATCTCAGATGAGGTCAAACCTAAACACTTTCAATTTGTATCCAATCAAGCAGGCCCTTGTACTACATAGTTAAATGTAAATCTAAAGGAAATTGAATAATAAAATTGTATAATGTATGGCCAGCCTTTGACTCACTAGTGGCAGTTTTGAAGGACAAATAATAATGATAAAATACGGTGTTTTGGTTCCTGTGCTTGTTGTACTTGTCAATTATGGGTTACTAATTATTACTAAGTGCTACTGATACTAGTGTAAATACAAGAGAACGTACATCCAGAGACAAGTGGAAACAGATCCTGAGATCAGAGCAGAGATATACTCTGAGCCAGCAGCGGCACCAGGAGGATCATAACAGTAATATTGACATAATCTGCCATACAATACTTTACAGGTACTGGCATGGAGACAACCTGCCTTTCGATGGTCCCGGGGGCATCCTTGCACATGCTTTCTTTCCAAAGACACACAGAGAGGGGGATGTACATTTTGACTATGATGAAGCTTGGACCATTGGAAACAGTATAGGTGGGTTATAGCTCTAAATTAGACAAGAATGGCGGCCATAATTCTTGCTGCATACTGAAATCTTGTACTTGAACTAGCAAATGTCTCTCTCCATATGTATTGCAGGCACAGATCTTCTGCAAGTAGCTGCTCATGAGTTTGGACATGTGCTGGGCTTGCAACATTCCTCAGTCTCCAAGTCACTGATGTCTCCATTTTACTCTTTCCGTTACCCACTCAGTCTTAGTGCAGACGATAAGCAAGGCATTCAGTACTTGTATGGAGCACCACATCCCCCAACCACAGCTCCAACTCCAAAGCCAGAAGACAATCAGCCAGAACCTGAGAGCAATGAGATCCCTTATTCAGAGGTTAGAAGATTCTTACTATCTACATCTATGCATTTACCACACTGTTCTAGTTGCGTTGAGGCCTTTCATCAGATTTATCCTCATCCAGGCCACGACCTTTGGATTAGCAATACTAGAAAAACTGTGAGGTATAAAGCATACATATTAACAATCAAAATATCTTTTTGATAAAGGTGCAAGCTCACAGATTTGCCTTTTAACACTTATAATCAGAAAATGCAATGAGATAATCATTGGCGATTTGTGAAATAATGATTTATATATCAATTATCATGGTATAACAAAGGCTGTAGGGGAACCCAAAAACAAGGAATAGGTGCTTACAGTCCCACAAAATTTATACAATCATTTGTGTATTTATCAGACTAGCAGACTGCATCAATGCAACACAAAAAGAAAAAACATTTTTAAAATAATAATAAATAATACAAATATATATATATATATATTTTTTTTTAATAATAAATATAAAATAAGTCATTCTGGAATCACAAACATGATTTTTTTTTTTAGATGTGATTGTAGTAAATAACAGCTTCATTTCTGTGTATTACTGACAGCAATGTTGAATTATGTTGCTTGCAGCCTGATGCCTGTTCCACAGATTGATGCTGTATCCACAATCCGAGGGGAGCTGTTTTTCTTCAAATCTGGCTATGTATGGCGCCTGAGAGGCGGTAAACTACAAAGTGGATATCCAGCATTGGCTTCCCGACACTGGAAAGGAATCCCGGACTCAGTGGATTCTGCTTTGGAAGACTCAGCTGGGAACATCTGGTTCTTTTATGGTAAGCAGAATACACTGGGACTGTAAAGTCTAGTACACACTTTGAGAAAATCAGATGAATGATCATCTGATTTTCCTTGAAAGTCTGTGTATCATGATGTAACCAACAATAGTATTAACTTGTATGAAAATTCTCAACAAAGGCAAATGTAGGCAAACAAAGCTGCATGCTAGTGTAGAAGAATAGGAAGGAAGCATTCTTTGCTTCTGACCAATGTGTTTTTTTTCTATTTGACTATATCCATATGATTACTGTACACAATACATGAAAATTGGAAGTTGTGTTCAAATAAGATAAACATTTTCTAGCCTGCACCTCAGTTTTGTCATTCGAAAAGTTGGAATTGACTGTTGAAAACACTATACTGATAATCGACTGATTGTTCCTCATATGGAAATTATACCAATTATATCATCTTGGTAATAATAACAAAATAATTCCAATGACCATGTGGAACCTCTGAACATTATTATTATGTTAGGGTTATTCAGGTAACCCTCAATTTATAACAGGGATCAATGAAAAACTACTACAAGTACAGAAATAATGTACTGATTTTCTCAAAATAACCATATTGTCAGGTAATTAGGTAAATAATGTCCTGTTTGGCTCTGGGTCTTGCTTCACGAAGAACAGCTGAAGGCTCCAAAACCCTGTTCCAGTGCACTAAGGAGCTACTTCAGAGAAGCACTTGTAGCATGTGTCTTTTGCAGCAGTCCATTTAAAGTGATTTTAAACCCTCACCTTGTAAAACAAACCATTCAGTTTAAAATATAAATAAAAGGCAAATCATTTGTGTATAGATATTAAAAAGCATTATAACCACCTTTTTTACATTTTTTTTTATAGGTGATCACATACTCTCTGTTCTCAGCTGCATTAGAGCTGTGGGAAGAGAAACAGCAGACCACTGATCTTCCAGTGAAAGGCTGTGCAGGGGGAAGAAGGGTGTCAGGGCAAGTCTGAACATTGGGGAGAGAGCAGGCTGAGTTCCCAGCATAGCTTGAGACCTGACCACGCTGTACCCTTATGCCTAGTGTGGTCAGCTGTTATAGGAAAGCCAAAGGACTGGCAGGATCACCAGGTATTTCACACAAAGAAAGAAATACACAGAGAACAGGATACTTTTTCATGCAAGTAAATGGTACAGTAGGAACATATCAGGAATATTAAATGTTGGGTTACTTGTTAACACTACCAAGGCAAAGATGTTGGCGTTGGTGCAGTCAGCTTCAAGCTCCATGGATTTCCAGCTAACCAAAGAGATAATAAGCAGCCAGAGGTCCGTTACTTCAGCACTCACATAGTTACATAACTTTCATTGAAGAAAGCACAATTGGCTGTAGAACAATATATCATTTAACTGAAAATATTACAATCCGAATGTGTACAGTTCGAGGCATGTTATGTTTATGAGAATGAGGAGACTAATATTACACAGCCATAAATAGAGATGTATTCTGCCTTTTGTTCCTGCGTTCAGCAAATTGGATATTGGTGGGATGATACAAGTTAGGACGGGTCTTGGGATCTGTGCACATTCTTAGCCCATGGTTGTGGCTGTACACAGAAGCCTCAGCGTGTCATATAAACCCTAAGGCACAGCAGATTTTCTAGCTTCTGCCAGCTCCTGACATATCGAACTCTCCCTACTTCACTGCCCAATGACACAACAAACCCTAGGGCACAATATTTCACCAGGTGAAAATAAAGATCAGGGCACAAGCAGAATGCAGACGCAGGGTGTACAAGGCGCAAAAGGGAAATACACTTTGAAAATAGTTTGAAACTGGATTGTGTGTACTGTTTATAATATGTGCATTAGAAACCTTCACATGAACTGCAGCCTGTTTAAAATAATAAGGCCTCATGCATTTTAAAAACGTCAGAAGCGTTGGTTGTATAAACTCGCGTTAAAAACGCGCTTTTTCACATTAGCGTTTAGCTGCGGTAGCTTTTTTTTTAGCATTTTCTACACACACACACACAAAAAATGGGCTCAAAAAACGCTCATAAATGCCGGTTTGCCACGTTTTACCATGTTTACCAACATTAGAGCATTTTTACAGCTAAAAAACTCTTTTTTTTCAAGCCAGAAAACCCCCCCCCTGCTAAAAAAAACTGTGATTTAGGCTAGGTTCACATTTGTGTGGGCGCTGCGGATTCGCCCAAATATATGTGCAGCCGCAGCACCAGCACAGAGGAATGCAGACCCGCGGGCGGGTGCCATTAATTCTAATGGCACGCCGTCCGCACTGGAAATCGCAACTGTACTGGGAACCGAGGTTCCCGTGCGGGCTGCGTTTTCCAAAGAAGTGCAGGGACTTCTTCCCTGCATGTCCCGGGGCACGGGAGTCCATACAAATGAATGGGCTGTCGTGCCCACGCAAAACATGTCCAGCAGGAACGTGAAGATGTAAACCTAGCCTAAAGCCTATGTGTGCATGGATCCATAGGATAACATGCTGGGGGGTTTACTGACTGTAGAAAAAAATGCCAGAAACCAAAAACAGCAGCTGGAAAATTCCAAAGTGTCCATGAGACCTAAAAGATACTACATAGAAAACTATTAGGTCCTATGTAGAAGGTACAGAGAATTAGTAATTTACAGTAAGGACAGTCTGTTTAGTATCATTACTCCAATGGGGCCTGTCATGTATTATGTTACTGCAGGAATCATGTTACGAGGGAATCCATGTTGGTTAATATTACTTATATGTTTAAGTACAATATTAACACCCACGCCAAATGGGAAACCCAAAAGAAATTTGACTCTAATGTTATGTAAAATATTTTGTATGGAAGAAACAATAGCTGCTCTCCAAACTGTGTAAAAACTAATTGTTACCCTGTAATCCTAAATACAAAAATGAGCAGCGTGCCACCTATTACTGACAGACTGCTAAACGTACAATATTTATTTATTATAGGTTCCTCTAAAGTGCCGTCAATTTACGCAGCTCTTTACATTTATATATTGTACATTCACATCAGTGCCTAACCCTCATAGAGCTTACAGTCTAAGGTCCCTAACTCACATTCATACATAAATATACTAGGGCCAATTTACCTACCAGCATGTCTTTGGGACGTGGGAGGAAACCCACACAGGCACAGGGAGAACATGAAAACTCAAGGCAGGTGGTGCCATGGTTGGGATTCAAACCAATGACCCTCATGCTGCCAGGTGGAAGTGCTAACCAGGGGCGGACTGACCATTTGGAAACTCGGGCACTGCCCGAGGGCCCGGGGTCAGTAGGGGGCCCCATGAAATGCCCCTGGTACCTTTTTCATAGGCTTTTTTGAGTTTGGGCAAGGACACAGGGGCCCCATGATCCCCTATTGCCCGGGGGCCCCATGAGGTTTCAGTCCGCCACTGATGTTAACCATTTAGCCACTGTGCTGCCCACAATATATCACAAAGTGCAAATAATCAATACGTATGTGCAAATACAACAAAGTGCATGAACTGCACTTGTGGTTCACCAATGCCAGAAGTCTGTCAATCAAATTGGTATTGCTGAATCTTGGCTTCATTCTTCACATGACTGGGCCATTAATATCCCTGGCTATGTTCTCTTTCAGAGAGACAGGGTAAAAAGGTAAGGTGGTGAAGTGATCTCAGAGCGAGTGTGAAAGAGGACCTAGTTGATGGAGAGTGTGATGGGGCTGGAGCATTATGGGTGGAACTGGAACTGCACATGGGGGTGCGTACTACAAAGGTAAACATTGGAGTTGGTTATAGGAGGTGGAGACTCAGATCCTTGCACAGATCAAAAGGGCTGCAAGGGCTGGGACAGTGATAATAATGGGGGATTTTAACTACCTGGAAATTGACTGGAGTAATGCTACTGCAGGAACAGGTAAAGATCAAAAATGTATTGCATCATCAATGCCAATATTCCCTCCCAGTCTAAGTCTTGGAGAGCAGCTCTTAGCCTTGGAAAATTAGCTCTCTTAAAGTTGAGCGTTTTTATTTTTCCCGTATGTGCTTGATGTTTACAGCTAACAATAAATTAAATCATGTTATGGTCACTGCTACCCAGATGTTATTTTATATAGACATTCGTAATAAGCTCTACATGGTTTGAGATTACCAGGTCCAGCAGAGCATCATTCCTAGTTGGGGCCTCTATGAACTACACCATAAAATTGTTTAGTTTCCCATGTTGATGGGGACAAGGGCTTCTGGGCTGTGGTTGTGGGGGTCTGCGAGCAGGGGGGCTTATCAGAATCTGGAAGCACAGTTTAACAAGGGGACCCCCAAAATCCCCCCCCGTGTGAGTGAGTATGGGTTACATAGTACCCCTATTGGTTCACCCAAAAAGTGTAAAAAAGCAACTAAAAACACAACAGCTTTTGACAAGCCCTTTATTAAGAAACAAAACATAAGTGTGCACCGAAGTAGATCCATCGTCAATCATGATGAATGCCAGCTGCCGACTTGACCAGGGGCATGCTGAGAGGATGATGTCACAAGGGGGAGGAGTCACCCCCTTGGTTATTTAACCACTAGCCTACAGGGCACTAATACCCCCCTCCTGCCCAGGCCAATTTCCATCTTTCAGCACTGCTGCACTTTGAATGACAATTGCGCGGTCATGCAACACTGTACCCATATGAAATTTTTATCATTTTTTTGTGACAGAGCTTTATTTTGGTGGTATTTAATCACCTCTGGGTTTTTTTTTTTTTTCTTAAACAAACCAAAAACCACTGACAATTTTGAAAAAAAATGTTTTTTCTTAGTTTTTGTTATAATTTTATAAATAAGTGATTTTTCTCCTTCACTGATGTGCGCTAATGAGGCTGCAGTGATGGGCACTGATAGGCTGCACTGATGGACACTAATAGGTGGCACTGATGAGGAGGCACTGGTAGGTGGCACTGATGGGCATTGACAGGCATCACTGATGGGCACTGAAAGGCAGCACTGATATATGGCACTGATAGGTGGCACTGATAAGCGGCTCTGACTGGCACTGATAGGCGGCACTGATGCACACTGATAGGCGGCACTGACTGGCACTGATTGGCACTTATTGGCACTGAGTGGCAGCACTGATAGGTGGCCCTGACTGGCATTGATGGGTGACACTGAAAGGCAGCTCAGATGGGCACTGATATGTGGCATTGATGTGCACTGGTAGGCACTGAAATGTGTCATTGCATGGATGAGCACTTACAGCTGGCACTGATGGACACTGACAGGTGGCACTGCTGGGGCTACACTGATCCTCAGGGCACACTGATCATCAGTGTCCTGATGATCAGTGTACATGTCCCCTCTGAGGAATGCCGATTTCCTGCTCTCCTCTCGAGCTGTCAGAGTGACAGCTCATGAGGAGAGAAATGCCGATAACCGGCATTTCCCTATTTACATGCGATCAGCTGTGATTGGACACAGCTGATCACATGACCAATCCGACATCTTCGGTTCTTTCCGTTGATCGGTGATCCGCTGTGTCCGAGGGACACGGCGCACTGCCGATCACCGTGCTGCGTGCTCCCGGAGCTGCACATGCGCGGTTAGAATGGGAGGACGTCATATGATGTCCTCCCAGAACGAGAGAACCGCCTTGCGCCCGTCATTGAACTATATGGTGTTCACCTTCCCTCCTCACCTTCAGGCGCTCCCTGAAAACCCACCTCTTCAGGGAAGCCTACCCCACCCTCACCTAACAGCCGCTGCCCTTCCCTCCTCCTACCACTCCATCCCCCACAGCCGTTTCCTCCTGTGCCTCTACCCCCCTCCCTCCTAGATTGTAAGCTCGAAAGAGTAGGGCCCTCTAACCCCTCGTGTCCTGTTTGATGTTACTGTTCTGTTTCATGTATTGTCCCCCCTCTATTGTACAGCGCTGAGCAAACCCTTTGGCGCTATATAAACTCGATAAATAAATAAATAAATAAATATGGTGGGCGGGAGGCGGTTAAGAGCTGGCACATGGCAGGAGCCTTCATCGAGTGCAGAGCTCTTATTTTTCAGGGTTGGTGGCCAGCGTTCATGATTGATGTTGGATCCACTTCGGGGGGACATTTATTTTTTGTGGTTTTTGTTCATATGACTTTTTAAAGGGGGCTTCCAGATTTCGATAAGCCCCTTGCCCGTAGACCCCCACAGCCCAGGGTTGTGGGGAAGAGACCCTTGTGCCCACCAACATGGGGTCAAGGTGCTTTGGGGGGGAAGCCCCCCCTGCTCTAATGCACCCTCCCCCATGTTGATCATGTTGAGGGCATGTGGCCTGGTATGGTTCAGGGGGGGTTGCTTATCCCCCCCCCTTTCCTGGCCTGTTGGGCTGCATTTTGAGATTTTGTGGGGAGATTCCGTGCCATTTTTTTTTTTATTTGGGCGTGAGATTCCCCTTAATATGCATACCAGACCTGATGGATGACTCATCAGTTGCTAAGGACGTGGCGGCCACCTTCCTGACCCTCTCCTTAACAACCAGCTATTCTTCACACAGAATTCGTATCAGTCGATAAATTTATGACCAATTCAAATTCGAATCGTTCTGAAAATTTGGAATTTGTTAGAAAATAAATAAACTAAACAAAGCAAATTTCTACTAAATGCGTTGCTATTGTTAATCGGAAATTCGGATACATCCAAATCTTTGAATAACCGAAAATTCCTCTGAATTTAGATTCAGAACAAAACGAATTGCACATATCTATTAATAAATGATGTTCATTTGCTGGTGAGTGAGTCACTTTATGCACTATTTTAGCACTTGTTTATGACACTGTCCAGCCCTTTATGCACTTTGTTGCATTTGCACATATTTATTGATTATTTGCACTCTATGGATTATTTGCACTTTGTGATACATTGTATGTATTTTCATTTTGTTTATTTGCACATTGGCATTTTTCCATAATGTGTTTAGCAGTGTGTTGGCAATACGTGGGCTGCTGCTCTTTTCTGTATTTATGGTTTACTTACTATTAATTATACATATCTGCATATTTTAATGTATAGGAGGAATATTCAGATCACTGTCACTTCTAGCAGGGATCATCAGAAAACCTCCAAATGTGTGAAGGTCCCCGTATTCCCTTTAGTGGTGCAGATGGTTTTGCCATCTAAGGCTCCATGCACACTAGGCGTTTTAATAACGCTGGTAACGTTAGCTGTGTAAAGTCACGTTAAAAACGTGAGTTATTTAGCGTTTTTGTATTAGCGTTTTTTTCGCTTTTGAGTTTTTTAGTGTTTTTTAGAGTTTTTTTTTATTAAAAAAAAATTTTTTCTTTAGCCAAAAAAAGGAAAACGCTGGTTTCTCGTGTTTTGACCTGTTAGAGCATTTACACAGCTAAAAAACTCTAGAAACCCACTAGTCCTGGGTTTTTTTCCAGCCATAAAAATGTCCCTGCCAGAAAACGTTGATTACAGTCTGTGTGCATGGACACATAGGATAACATGCTGAGGAGTTTACTGGCTATAGAAAAAAATGTCAAAAGCCAATAACATCTGTAGAAATGTCCAGTGTGCATGAGGACTGTATGCTGTATGCTATCCTTGCATTCCTTGTGACCATAGTATTCTCACCAATTTAGATACCACATCTGTGGAAATTTTATTTTCTATGACCTTTGTGTTTTTGTTTTTTTTTTAATCATTATTATAGGACCACGATTTTGGATTTTTGATACAAAGCTTCAGGTCACAGGCCCCTTCCAGATATCAGATCTTGGATTATCTGTAAGCAGCATTCAAGCTGCCTTTTTATGGGGCACTGACAAGAACAAGAAAACATACCTATTCAGAGGAACAGGGTACTGGCGTTTAAATACTGACACCCGGCATGTGGAGAGTTGGCATTCACGCAGTATGAGTGATTGGAGAGGAGTACCTCCAGGAATAAATGGTGCTTTCCAGGATGAACATGGTAAGATTGCTAAAAAGCTTTTAGGTATAAAATGTTTGAATTACATTACAACATGATTAGTAGTCAGGATAAAATTGTTTCTCCTAAAAATTGATGACTTTTTGGTGTTCCAGGTTTTGCCTACTTTTTACGCGGCAGATACTACTGGAAGTTTGACCCAGTACAGGTGAGAGTCATGGAGGGTTATCCACGTTTGGTCAGCCAGGATTTCTTCAGCTGTCCTTCTTCAATGTCTTCTTCAGTCAATTCTTTACGATGAAGCTCAATACTAATAACATTTGAGTAACTTCAATGGAACACTAACTTTCCTCTAGGTTCACCTATTCTGGCAGGGCTCTGAGGGCCCTCATGGCCCAGATTTTACTGACAAGAGGAGACCAGACTTTTCTTTAATGTATTGTTACCTAACAATCGTCTTACACAGCAGAAAGGTTTTCACACTTCAGGTACTCTATAAAGTTTACTAAAGGGACATTACTACGCTATGTCATGTCATTTTATATATTGGCATGGCAGACGAAAAACTGACATAGTATGTCAATGAATGAAGTAGCTTGCAGTTGTTTGTGGTATTACACAGTCAACTTTTTTCTACGGTGTTCAGATGTACACAAGGTCACAGAAATGGCATCTAGATCTACATAAAGGGTCACTGCCCTTACAAAATGTTTTTACAGCGTTACGGCTCCCTTCAATGGACAAATCAAACAAAGCTTGCAACTGAAAAATCATGAACTGACCATTCAGTCATTCATTGCAGTGGAATGCGTATATTCCTGGAACCAATGAAGATGTTAAACCAACTTAACGCAGTGCCAAAAAAAGACTTTTAATTTAATATTAGTGTATGTATAAAGCCATTATCTCTATCAGTGCTGGCCACTGACCTGACGAGGTTTATGGTTCAGTATTGCTAATACATGTTACTGTCTGGAAACAGCAAATTCTGCCCTTACTAATTACAATTTTGTACCACTGTAAAACTAGATTTGACAAATGACTTCTTAAATATGTTGAACTATGGCTGGATACCTTCACATGGTGCTTACAAGTTAATGCCTGTGCAATCTATATAATTATTCTTCTGCAAATCAAACCCAACTTAGTGGAAGAAAAGGACGGAAGCTGCGTGGAAAACATGCCAACCAAAATGTGTGAAGAAATGTGTGTTGCCAGTACACTAGCTAGCAGAGATGACCAAACTGACCTGCCAAGTTTAAGATTTGACCTGGACCAGTTTGCATGAAACATTAAGAAGATCTAATCTTCAACTGGATGGCATTTAAAGCAGTGTGTCTGATTTAGTGATCTTTATTGTAGCCTGAATGGCTTTAGTTTTGTAGCCTGGATGGCTTTAGTTTTCATAAAATTCTTTTGCCTTTTTAAATCTTTTTTGCCACTCAGCACTGCTGATCTCCTTCAGTTAATTTATGTGTACATGTACTCGCCTTATCATCATATGATTGCTCTGGACCGGTTTCCTGATAGTGACATGGGAAGACCAAGTTTGCACAATGTGTGTTGGTGTGGCACTGCAGGGGTGACAATGCAGTTGCAGTTGTCACACTATAAAAGGAAGTGCCTAAATAATGACCTTTTTTGGCAGGATCACAAGTATTATTTTAATGAAAGCTTCATATTTAAAACAGATTGAAAACAACCTTTGCATAGCAAATTTTTATGACATTTTAGAGATTAATTTTATCAGCCTAAAATCCACATTTTTCAACACCTGTAATTAACATTTCTTTAAAGTGGTTGTAAAGGTAAAGTTTTTTTTAAGTTAATGCATTCTATGCATTAAAGTGGTTGTAAAGGTAAAGGGTTTTTTTTACATTAATGCATTCTGTGCATTAAAGTGGTTGTAAAGGTAAAAGGTTTTTTATACCTTAATGCATTCTGTGCATTAAAGTGGTTGTAAAGGCAAAAGTTATTTTTTACCTTAATGCATTCTATGAATTAAAGTGGTTATAAACCCTTACCTATATCCAATTAAGTGACTAGCCGCAAGTGATATAAATGAAACAAATCCACCTACATAAGTTGTATCTGTTTATTTGCTGCCATTTGCCCTGTACATCCTTGTAAAAAGGCTTTTTCACAGACTTACAAAGCAGGGAGCAGGAGCTGCAGGTACACACTGTACAAAAGCTGTGAGAGCTGATTGGAGGGAAAGGATAAACTCCCCTTCACACAGTACACAGGAACAAAGCTACGGCTGTCAATCACAGTCAGTGCCCTGTTCCTGCCACCTTTTTAGCTCTCAGTGTCAGGAAAACTTGGCAGAAGCGACTCATGCTGATAACAGGGGAACTAGACAGCAGATAGAAATGACACTAGTACTCTGGAGAGAGGCAAGTAAAAACTATAGAAATGTGTGCTTTGTTACAATTTCATGTCTGAGGTTTACAACTACTTTAAGATAAAAAAAAACCTTTCAAGTGCAGTTCCCCCACAACCTTCCCTAAATACTCACCAGAGCCTGGTCTTGGTCCAGTTTGCAGCAGCTCTTCTCCCTTCTCCTCATTCTCATA